TCCCTCCTACACGCAATCCCAATGCATCTCCCACTGTGTGCTGAGTTAAGAGCAGCACAAGTTGGGATCATACAATAAGCAGCACAGTGTGATTATCCTTTGCCCAGAATCACACACTTACACTCCAAATTGGAAACCTGAAAGGAAAGGCAATCCTCAATGAAAAACTGCAAATCATATCTTTCTGATGATCTTCTCAGACCTGTAATCCCAACACTTTGGGTGGCTGAAGCAGGCAGACTGGGTGAGCCCAGGGGTTTGAGATCAGCTGGGGCAACACGGTGGGACTCCATCTCTACAAAAATTAGCTGTGCACCTGGAGTCCAAGCTACTCAGGAGACTGAGATGGGAGAACAGCTTGAACCTCAGAGGTCGAGGCTGCAGTGGGCTGTGTTTGTGCCACTGCACTCCAGCCTGGGTGACAAAACAAGACCCTGTCTCTAAAAGAAAAAAAGAAAAGAAAGAAAACAAAACCCAAACCCATAAAGCCTTCTTACAAATATTTACACAAAGTAGCTCTTTAACGTTAATATATTCTACAAATAATAACTACATATTTACAACGTTCCAGATATAGAAGAAAAGGCCAAAGAAGGTATTTTAGGAGAGCCAGATTATACTGAACTATGCCACTTATTAACCCAGTCACTTCTTTCATATCTGAAGATGAGCAAATCAAATATTGATAAAAGCTGTAGAAGGATACAGATTCTCATATAATCATCTTCCATTCCAGAATAAAAGGGCTGGAGAAGGGAAAGAGGATTATTCTGTTCAAGGACAATGGCATCCTCAGCAACTCATAGAGATGTGCAGGTGAACATCAGACCAGGATGGGAACCTTATAATATCTATGATATACTATGGCTTCTATCAATCAGTTTCAGGAAAAGCAAAGAAGAATGGCCAGTCACAGTGGCTCACACCTGTAATCCTGAAGTGGGCAGATCACATGAGGCCAGAAGTTTGAAAGCAGCCTGGCCAACGTGGTGAAACCCTGTCGCTACTAAAGCCCGTCTCTACTAAAAAATAAAAAATTAGCCAGGCATGGTGGTGGGCGCTTGTAATCCCAGCTACTTGGGAGGCTGAGGCAAGATAATCGCTTGAACCCAGGAGGTGGAGGTTGCAGTGAGTCAAAATCACGCCACTGCATTCCAGCCTGGGCAAGAGAGCAAGACTCCATCTCAAAAAAAAAAAAAAAAAAAAAAAGAAAAAGAAAAAAAAAAGCCAGTCAAATGGCAGAAACAGACTTAGCCACTTTACTTGGAAAAATCTGGGCTTTATCAGCTCCATCAATCACCATGCTCCACACCATGCTTATTAAGTGTCTGGAGCAACATTAGATGGGTGCCATTCCAAATTCCAAATGATCACATCTTTGCTTTGCAAACAGGATGTGGCTTAATAATCACACAGGGAACTAGATTCATTCAAGTATCTAGTTCCTAAAACAAGTCTATTTAACAGGTTCAACAACATGCAACACACACCCTCCAACTGGTAGAAACACCTTTCAATGACAAAGAAAAGTGGCAAATACTAAACACCCTCACAGAACATTTAGCAACTGGTGGGACTAACCCTTGAAGGTGAATTCAAAATAGAACTGAACCTCAATACCAGCCTTGTTTTCCAGAAAAGGGAGTATGAATTCTTAGTTTCAGGTTTAGATCAAAACCAGAAGTTGCATTGCTTAATGAAAAACACTGGGTCGGCCAGGGGGGCTCATTCCACCCTGTAATCCCAGGACTTTGGTAGGCCAAGGCAAGGGGATCACTTGAGCTCAGGAATTGGAGACCAGCTTGGGCAACATGGTGAAACCCCGTCTACAAAAAATACAAAAATTAGCCAGGTGTGGTGGCATGCTCCTGTGGTCCCAGCTACTCAAGGGGCTGAGGTGGGAGGATCGCTTGAGACCGGGAGGCAGAGGTTGCACTGAGCCAAGACTGTGTCACTGCACTCTAGCCTGGGTGACTAAGCAAGACTGTCTCAAAAAAAAACAAAAACAAACAAACAAAACCCACTGGCCCAGAACCTACAATTAAGCTGTTTGGAGGAAGAGGACGGAAATATGTTAGTTAAGATTTAACCTGCATATGTTGCCTTCTTTACTAAAATCAGACTCATAAAGGAATGTATTCTGGCTTCAGCCTTGTTGGTACTGCTTTCCCTCTATTTGCTTCCCATGCTATTGCTTCATCCTTGTTTCTGCAGAACTAGGATTTTAGCTTAAAGTCACCTAAAAGCCTCCACAGGAAACTATGTTCCAAAGGGAAGACTCCATGGGAAGAACAATAGAGAAAGAAGTTACTTTTAAGTGTTTTTTTTTTTTTTTTTTGAGAGTCTCCTCTTACCAGCTGAGTCATGCGATCTCAGCCACTGCAAGCCCGCCCCGGTTCCCCATTCTCCCCCCCCCGAGCTGGACTCAGCCCCCCCCCCCGCTAGTTTTGTATTTTATAGAGACGGGTTCACGTTATCAATGTTCATCTCTGACTCTATCACGTCTCCCAAAGCTGATTACAGCTACCCCCCGCCTACTTTAGTAATGTTCACCCAACCCAGTCTTCATTTTCTCTCAAAGGACAAGAACCCTCAACTAATAAAGCAAATGAACTTACAGGAAGGTAATATATGGAAATAAACATCTTATTGAATTTATCTGGCTGTAAATCTCTTTCGTTAGGGAATTTATAGTATTTCATTGTCTCACAATCTCTCCATTTCTATTTACTTGATTAAACTATGGTACTATAGCAATGGAGGTGAAGGCCTAATTTAGAAGTATAGGAATTAGGCAAGGCGCGGTGGCTCATGCCCATAATCCCAGCACTTTGGGAGGCCAAGGCAGGTGGATCACTTGAGGCCAGGAGTTCGAGACCAGCCTGGCCAACACGGTGAAACCCCATCTCTACTAAAAATATAAAAATTAGCTGGGCATGGTGGCGAACACCTGTAGTCCCAGCTACGCGGGAAGCTGGCGCAGGAGAATCGCTTGAACCCAGGAGGCGGAGGTTGCAGTGAGCTGAGATCATATCACTGCACTCAGCCTCAGTGTATGCTGAGTGATAAAGCAAGACTCCATCTCAAAAAAAAAAAAAAAAAAAAAGGCCAGGCGCGGTGGCTCAAGCCTGTAATCCCAGCACTTTGGGAGGCTGAGACGGGCGGATCACGAGGTCAGGAGATCGAGACCATCCTGGCTAACATGGTGAAACCCCGTCTCTACTAAAAAAATACAAAAAACTAGCCAGGCGAGATCCGGCCACTGCACTCCAGCCTGGGCAACAGAGCGAGACTCCGTCTCAAAAAAAAAAAAAAAAAAAGGAAAGGAATTATTCTCATGTATACAGTATTAGTAAACAACCTACAAAGCTTTTGAGCATCTTATAATTCACTGTGTACCACTGTTTCATATTTTCATGTTTCCGCAATTGAACTATAGAGTCTAGGGCTAGGTCTTAAGACTTTTCTCGTAACCTTCAGAGTGCCCAGCACTGGGATTGACACATAGCAGTTAGAAGGATCTTTTTTTAACCCCATAAACCAGGCTCAAACTCTTCTATAACCCAAATCAACATATTCTGAGTGCCAATCTTGTGTAAGGCTCTCTATTATTTGTCATGCAGGATTCAGAGGAAAATGTGATCTACCACACTCAAGAGCAGGCCTCTTATCCTCTCCAGCTTAATGCATTTTACCAGTTAAGGACTACTCTGATGCTGAGATTGTACTTCTTTCCCTAAATCAAATGTCATGTGTTTAATTAAATGCTTTTAATTCTAGATATCAAATGATAACTTTTGTGAAGTAATTTAAACACACTTGAAACATCACATAAAATATTACTATATGACTCAACTGTAAATGTGGCTCCCACCCCCATAACATCTATACAATATAACCAAAAAGCTAGATTCCAGGAGATTATCAAGAAACTTCTAAATTTTGAACCCATGCAGCAGAATTGTATTCCTTTACATTGTTGACTCGACTTATACATGTGCTGTGGAATAATTATCCTCAAATGCAATTTTCAGTACTGATTACATAGCTGCCTAAAAGAAAACTGTTAGCCCCTTCCATTTTATATCAAACCAATGACTAAAGTGCTCTTGACCTCTTTAACCCCACATTTTCCCCACCCTCATCCCTCCTCAATCCCCAGAACCCACTCATCACATCCACTAGACTTGAAATTTGAGCTCAATCATAACTCTTTGTGTCTCTGCTCAATCCCTTCTTCCTGCCTGGAATACCCTCTTTTCAGTCCCGGCTAATTACATGCACCACCCCATTCCAAGTAGCCGCTGGAAACTCACTTCCTTATGTTCTATGACTTCTTTCACAGTTTATACTTGTTTTGTTTTGGGGGGGGGGTTGTTTTTTTGAGACGGAGTCTCGCTCTGCTGCCCAGGCTGGAGTGCAGTGGTGCGATCTCGGCTCATGACAACCTCCACCTCCTGGGTTCAAGCGATTCTCCCGCCTTAGCACCCTGAGTAGCTGGGACTACAGGCGCGCACCACCACGCCCGGCTAATTTTTTGTATTTTTGGTAGAGACGTGGTTTCACGGTGTTGGTCAGGCTGGTCTCGAACTCCTGACCTCGTGATCCGCCCACCAAACATTCTATGTGCCAGACACTTGTATGTAACCTTGCATAGTTCTTGTATTATGTCTCCCCAATTTTGAGTGTTTTCTCTGGTCTCCTCTACCCAGCCCTTGGCCACAGCCTCACTAGGACCCTGGACAGCTTGAACACGGTCAGAAGCATCACCTGAGATTTTTGCTGGCACAGTATTTTCCATAAATTAATCTCCTGATTGAACCGTAGTCCTATAGTAGTTATCTTTGGATGTAAACCTAATACAGCTCGAGGAGGAAGTGGAGTGCTTGTGATCAGAGGGCTGGGCAAAAGCCCAGAGGGCGTCTCTGTAGCCCTGGGGGAGCTGTCCCCAGGCAGGCTCTCTCAGGGCCCGGGAACAGGGCGGGACAAGTTCGACTGACCTGTGCGGTAAGGACGGGGCCAAGACCCGGAACCGAAAAGCAGGTCACGATAGCGCTGGAAGGCCTCGTCGAGGACTGAGCAGCCAGGCTGCGCGGCGGAGCTGATATCGTACTGGAATTGAAAGTTGTTCGGATAAAGGACGTAGCGCTGGTCGGAGGTTTGGATGTTCTGAGGCCAGGGCCAGAGGGCGGTCGCCCGTCCTGCGAACGCTGCCGCCAGCAGCAGCGAAAACCAAAGCCTGGAGCTTGCCATGGCCCGCCGGTCTCCCCTCTCGGAGAGGCCTGGCCACGTGAGACCCTGGTCAGGTGAGCGGCGCCCGCGTGACTATCGGCGAATCACGTGACCAGAGGCCGCTCTGCGCCTGCGATCCCGGGAGGACCCACTCCCTGCCCTTTCACTTCCGGCCTGGACTTGAGGCTCCTGCTGCATGCAGCGGTTAGTGCCGGGCGTCGGCAACTGCTCGGCTCCCCAGACGCCTGTCGGGCCCAGTAGAACCGTAAATAACCGGCCACCCCTGCGGCCGTGCGGTCTCTGATGGAACTAGACAGCTCACCCGACTCGAGAAGCACGGGGTGGGGAGGCGAGGACGCAGGGCGAGCTGGAAAAGAAAGTTTCCCAGATGGCTCCAGGGTGAATCTTGAATGTTGTGATGGAGCTCGCCAGGCCTACTGGGAGGTAAAGGACTTCCCAGGCTGAAGTAAGTTCAGCAGCAGAAAAACGGAGGATTAAAACCACAAGTCGTTGTGATGTGAAATTTCGTGGGGCAAGAATGGGCCGGAAGTGGGTAGTCTGCACGGCTCTGCTAGAGAGGGGATCACAAGATCACAAAAGTGTGATCTACTTATGACTGGAAAAAATGTGTACTTTCAGAGCCAGCTCGAGGCATTCCATTGCCTCCGATATGAGCTCTTCCCTTCAAGATTGACTATAAATCTCTTAGTTAGCAACTCACATCCCCTTTCCCCAGACAAAACCCCACATACCCCGGTGTGTATTTACTGAAAGCAGTAAGATATTGCTGGGCCTTTGGGTGCAAGATGGAGAGTGCTCAGAGATAAGGACAGGGGCCTGGTCCTGCAGGGCCTTACATAGGAAGTCGAGGAATTTATTCTCTGAGCAATTGAAAATCATCCCGAAAGATTTGCATTTTAGAAATACCATGTTGAATAGTTGCATAAAAAACCAGTTAGGAGGCCCCTTTTTATTGGAGGTAGAGAATAAGGAGAGACTGAACTACAGAAGTAGGGAAGGAAAAGCGCTGTAGATCCAAGAAATAGTGGGTATCCAGAAGAGTGGCTTGAGAAGTGATCAAGGAGAATTCCACAGTTATCAGAGACCCTGTCTTCCTTGTTCACCACTATGTTACCAGAACATAATACAAATAATGCTATTGTTATTGGGTGGCATTATTTAGTTAGTAGGTACTTTTTAAAATTTTTAAATTTAATATTAGTATTAAAATACATGTAAAGATCAGGAAAATGAACTTTTAAAATTAAGGGCTTTCACTGGGCATGATAACACATCCCTGTAGTCCCAGCTACTCCCAGCTATTCAGGAGGCTAAGGCGGGAGGATCACTTGAACCAAGGAGTTCAAGTTTAGCCTGGGCAATATAGTGAAACCCTTTCTCAAAAACCAAGGGCTACTGAAACTGAAATCATGATAATTTATATTCAGCTCGTAGGTACCTAATTGCTAGTTATACATACATGGCTTTGATGGGAAATTAAACATTCTGACAATACAGAAATTCAAGCATTTGTCTTTGATGGTTGATTATTCAAGAACAGAGCTTGTAGCAAAAAAAGCAGAAATTAGATCCCACAGTCATCAGGTTCAGATTCTAAGGCATGCATTCTTACACTAATTTCTTCTTTGCTCAAATCTTAATTTTCATCAGCATTAGTAAGTGTCTGGGTACTCTGCCAGTCAGGAGAGATGTTACCAAAGGTACAAAGGAAAAGGATTTGAAAAGTATTGTCAGAAGAGCCAAGTTCATAATCAGACCCACAGGATCAATAATTTGGGGGAGTGTTTAGAGCAGTTTCGAGGATGACAGCAGTAGATCGAAGTAGAATTTCAGGACTGAGCATATGCCAAGGCACCCTTTTATGTGATATTCAACCTGTACCAGAAGGGAGGAGTCATTTAAAAGAGTTACGCAAGATGAAAGAGCTAGATCCAAATAAAGACATTATAAAAATTACTAATGGGGCTGAGCATGGTGGATTACAGGGATTCAGTTATTTAATTATTACTGAAAGAGCTCTTTTAGACTTAACCAAATTTTTAAATGAAATATTCTTATGCATACATAAAAGTAAGTTACACAAGGTAAATTTGTTGATCTTCCAAAATATCCCCCCTTACTATACACTAGAGTGGGGTTTTGGCATAATGGCAGACAGATAGATGGAATGGAATAGAGGGTCCAGGAAAAGAGCCATTTGATTATTACTCGATCTCAACAAAGACACCAATTTAATTTAGTGGGGAAAGCAAGTTATTTTCAATAAAAGGTGATAAAATAGATACCCCTATGTGGGGAAAATGAACTATGATCCCCTACCTCACAGCATACACAAACTTAATTAAAAATGGATCACAGGCTGGGGATGGTGGCTCACACCTGCAATTCCAGCACTGTGGGAGGCCAAGATGGGAGGATCACTTGAGCCCAGGAGTTCAAGACCAGCATAGATAATACAAGGAAACCTCACTTCTCTCTTTTTTTTTTGTTTTTGAGATGGGGGTGGTTAATGGGTACAAAAAAAGTAGACTGAATAAGACGTACTATTTGAGAGCACAACAGGGTGACTATAGTCAATAATAGTTGTATATTTTAAAAGAACTTAAAAGAGTGTAACTGGATTGTTTACAACTCAAAGGATAAACGATTGAGAGTATGGATAACCCCATTCTCCATGATGTGCTTATTTCACATTGGACGCCTATATCAAAACATCTCATGTACCCCATAAATATATGCACCTACTATGTACCACAGAAACTTAAAATTAAAATTAGACTGGGCATGGTAGCTCATGCCTATAATCCCAGCACTTTGGAAGGCTGAGGCGGGTGAATCACTTGAGGTCAGAAGTTTGAGACCAGCCTGGCCAACACGGTCAAACTCCATCTCTACTAAAAATACAAAAATTTGCGTGGTGGCAGGCACCTGTAATCCCAGCTACTTGGGAGGCTGAGGCAGGAGGGTCACTTGAACCCGGGAGGTGGAGGTTGCAGTGAGCCAAGATCACGCTACTGCACTCCAGCCTGGGTGGAGGTTCTATCTCAAAAAAAAAAATTAAATTTAAATTTAAAAAATGAATAAACAGTTTTTAACAATATGAACTATTTAAATTAGTATATATACAACATTGCCATCAATTTTGACAGTAAATGAATATCGAAAATAACATAATAAGGTATATAATATTTGATTGTTTATTTTTTCTTTATTAAAGGCAGCTTGTTAAATGAATAAAAACATGATTTGATTTTCATATCTATATCTTCTAATAAAATTAATTTACATATCAGAAAAATAATTCACTGTCAGACAATGTGCCCAGGTTTTTGGCTTATAAATTAGGGGATCAGAAAGCAGGAAATAAATAATTTGCCTCAGTAAGTCTTTTACAATGGAGGTGAACTTTGAATTGACTCACAAAGCATGAGTTAGCCAGGCAGGGAAGTGGGGAGCATAGGCAAAGCACAGAGGTATGAAAGAGGATGACATATTGAACAAAGGGTTTATGGGGCTAGCGAAAGAAAATGTGCCACGATTACCTCACTTCCTGGTCCTCTACCATACTCTCTTCTTTCTGCAATGCCTTTCCCACTTCCCAATCCCTCTGCCTACTTCAAGGTCTAAACTTATATTTTACCATCCTGGAAATCTCTGACTTCTCAAATCTGGGTAAGATCCCCCTCCGTGATCCCATAACTCTCTGAGTTAATCTCATGTATCTCAAAGTACAGTTGACCCTTGAACAACATGGGTTTGAACTGCCCTGGTCCATCTATACACAGATACTATGTAGCCAAAGGCAGATGGAAAACACAGTGTTCTTGGGATGCAAACCCCATAGGTATGGAGGACCATCTGCAGGACTTGAGTATGTGCAGAGTATATGCGGATTTTGGTATTCTTGGAAGGTTGGGGGCATGGGGGAGGCGGGTCCTGGAACCAATCCCTTGAGTATATTGGGGTATGGCTCTATTGTTATTGTTTGTCCATTTGTCTGTCTGTTCCACTACAGTAAAAGCTCCTGCAATCTCAAACTCCTGGGCTCAAGGGTCCTCCCATATCAGCCTCCCAAGTAGGTGGGACTACAGGCACATGCTACCATGCCAAGCTAATTTTTAAAGTTTTTGTAGAGATGGGTCTCCCTATGTTGCCCAGGCTGGTCTCAAACTCCTGGGCTCAAGCTATCCTCCTGCCTCAGGCTTCCAAAGTGCTGCGATTATAGGTGCGCCACTGGCCCAGCCATCCTGACACTTTTTAAACCCATTCCATTTCACATGCTTCTGCCTCTGCTTTACCCTGTTGCCTCCAAGCTCTTCCCGTCCTATCTCTAAATTTACAAAACTCGATGCAATTTATCAGTACTGAACATACACAATTTTATGTAGGGTTTCTAAAAATGTGTCCAGGGCCCAGTGTGTGGTGGCTTATGCCTGTAATCCCAGCACTTTGGGAGGCCGAGGCAGGGGGATTACTTGAGCCCAGGAGTTCGAGACCAACCTGGGCAACACAGGAAGACCCCATCTCTACCTCTACCCAAAAGAAAATGTTGTGTCCAGTTTCTTTTTTAGCCCAATCCCCTCCTGTCTTCTAGTCTTATAATTATCCCAGTTATTCAGGTTTACTCACTAAGTCTTAGCTGACTTTCCTAAAACTAGACATACACCCCTTGCAATAACTGACTTTGTCCTATATCCATCCCATCCGAGGCTATAAATAGACATTTCTTTTTTTTTCTTGTTTGTAGAGACTTGCTGTACTTTTTAAAGATCTTGCTATATTGCCCAGACTGGTCTTGAACTCCTAGCCTCAAGCAATCCTCCCTCTTGGCCTCCCAAAGTGCTGGGATGACAGTTGTGAGCCACCACACCCAGCCAGACTTTTATTTATGGCCTGAATTTTTTACAAAGGTTTTTTTTGTGTGTCATAAAACTAGAAAAACTAGAGCCCCAGGGGAACTTTTGACGGATCTGAGCTAAAGGAGTGACAGTGGAAAGGAAGCTGTGGGACAAATGCAATAATATTTCAGACACGGAATAATGGAACTCAGCAGCTAACTGGGTGCTGTGGGAATGCGGACAAAGGAAAGGGGAGAGGAAAAGATGTGAGGGTGTACCAGCTTGGAAAGGAAAAGAGCATGACTTTAGTTATTCATTTAACGAGTATTTCTTTTTTCTTTCCTTTCTTTCTTTTTTTTTTTTTTTTGAGACAGGATCTTTGTTGCCCTGACTGGAGTGTGCAGTGGCACCATCACAGCTCACTACATTTCCCCAGGGAATGATGATACACTGGCTCAGTACAAATGGAAGAGCAGATATTGGGAAAAGAGGATGAGCTCCGCGACATGCTGTTTTGAGGGATTTTTTTTTTTTTTTTTTTTTTTTTGTGGAGATGGAGTCTTGCTCTGTCGCCCAAGCTGGAGTGCAGTGGCACAACCTTGGCTCACT